ATAAACAGTGAACACCGAGGCGTCCAGCGAGGTTCCTGAATTTACTGACGACAAGGCAGTTCACGGTTTCTAAGACCGTGAACTGTGGCCATTGACCGTGAACCCAATAAGCAAGGCGGTGCGTTTTGGAGACGACTGAGTTCACGGACGCGTTTAGGTGTTCACAGGCATGAACTGGCCTACGCGTCCGTGAACTTGTCACTTTCGGGCAAATATGAAGACAACAGCGGGGAGAGAGAAAGGAGAGCTGGTTTTTGGAGAAGAAACACTTTCTTTCTCTGGGTTTTCAATCTAAACACCAAAGGGGAGTTCTAGTGAGAGAGAGAAAGAGTGGTAGAGTGATCTTGGAGCATCATTGGAGGCTTGGGTGGAAGATTCAAGCCTAGAAGAAGAAGAAGATCTTGAGCTCAAATTTGTAATCCTCTCTCTCTCTAGAAACTCACTATGTTCTCTTGGGTGTTGTAAATCCCTAACTAATACTTTGTAATTATTTGTTTAGATTGAATGATTGTCATTGGGTAGTGATTAATTCAAGGATTGAGGTATTATTCATGTCGATTGTGCATGCTCGTGCTTAGCAATCTAAGGATTGTGCATGTTTTGTGCTTAGCATCCTTAGGTTTGTGCATTGCGGTGCTCGGCAACACAAGGATTGTGCATAATTGTGCTTAGCATCCTTAGGTTTGTGCATGTTGGTGCTAGCAATCTAATTAGCCACTTTAACCTAGGTTAATTTAGGGCAAACCTCAATGTTGAATTAAGCAAATTGGTTAAGCGTGACTAAGCCGTCCAACCTTGATTTGAGTGAGGGAGTAAGTCAACTACCGATTGTCTAAACCGAGAGGGTCGAGTGACATGGCCTTTCATGCTTACCTCGGTTTAGCAATTGAGATTGTGGTCTCCGACCACATATGCATCCCTCTGCGGGACGCGGTTACAGTTTGCATCTAGGTTGGCTGTGATTAAGCCGCTCAAACTCCGGTTTGAGGGAGAGACCTAGGCAACCACTAGATCCTGAGTGAGAGGATCGATCCCGTGACAAATGGATCGCTAGTTTCTCCTCCTAGCGGTTCCCCTAGACTTGGTGAGTGGATCGATCTCGTGACAAATCGAACGCTAGTGAATTGATGTCGTGATAGATTGATCACTAGTTGCTCACTCCGAGGTTCACAACCACCTACGCCTCACGACTTCATTCAATCCAACAAGTCATGGTAACTAGTTAGGGGGAAGCAATTCTTGGGTGAAGCTCCCTTAGTTATGATTTTCCTTTATTTACTTTTCTTTGCTTGTTTAGTTTGTAGTTTCATTAGCTCTAAAACCAAAATTTGTTTGCTAGATAACAACCTAAGAGATTGCAATAGGGGTACATGGATCGGCCAGGGTTGACAATTTAAATACTTGCTCTATACTGCACACGGCTAGAGTTTAAAAACTTGGGCTCTACTCGGGATCAATTTGTGGTGTAGTTTCGTGCGAGTCAGATTCTGTTCTGAATTATGATCCATGACAGAATGCTATACTTGGGGATAATAGGCTTACCCAAAACAAGCGCTGACCAGCTCACCTGAGTCGAGGGAGTACGGATACTTAACCAAACTCGTTTAACAGAATAACGAGTCATAGCACAACCATCTGACAGCAGTGTCTCGAAGCTTCAAAATGAGCTTCCAAACCCAAGACCTCACCGAGGTAGTAGAAATTTCCCATACAGTCTTGGCCTTGAGTTTGTACATTTTTAATCCATGCTACCCAAATAGAGCCACTGCAAGCAAGAAAATATCACAAGTGCCTAATAACACAAGCCTTATTCCATACACGAAAATCCTTAAAGGACACCAGTTGGCAATACAAATATGTTCATCCAGAACTGAAGGACACTAGAAACAATTGACGAAACAAGCTGAATCCGGCCCGCATAACTGAGCTTCTTGATTGTCAACCTCTAACCCGAAAGGTGATTCTATCAACCAGCACTTCACAATCAACTAGCATCTGTTACTTTAGTTTTACTTTTCATGTTATTTTTTACACATTTTTTTGTTTCACGGTTGTTTTGATGTAGTGTGTGGAAGGTAGTGCATGACTAGGAATGGCAACAAAACCCGAACCTACGGGTACCCTACCCGGTCAACGCAGGTAAAACCCGTGTTGACAGGGTTTGGGCTGGTTTTGGGTTTTAACTCGTTCACTATTCACTGGGTTAGGTTGGATTTGGGTTTAGGTAAGTATGCTCGCCCCATGGATACCGCCCACATCCATATAATTAATTTTCATTGTATATTTTATATTCTAAGCAACTATGTTTGTGGACACATGTCTAATTTTTTCTTTCTAATTGTGTAGAATGAAGTTTATATTATCGAGTGGAGAGTGAAGAAGCTTAATTGACAAGGAGGAAGAAGTTTTCAATTAATCATGTTGTTTATGGATAATTTGTGATTTGCCTCAATTTTCTTGAGTTTTCTAAATTGGTATTAAACAATTTGTATGGTTAATTTGTGATTTTCTTGAATTTTCTAGAATGGTGTTTTATATATGGATAATTTGTATTGAGAGATTGATATTTGAATTTTACTTTGATAGGAACTTGTTATTGTAAATTTTTTACGACAAAAACCCATGGGTACCCATGAACCCGCGGATACCCATAGGTTTGGGTTCAGGTTTGGCAAAACTCGACCCAACCCGACCCATTGTCATCCCTACGCACGACCCGTAGCTAAATGAGTGATTAATGCACATTGACCACAACATCAACTGAATCTTGTGCGTCCTTAAGCAAGAAAGAAATTACAAAAAGCTCTCAAGCTAGCTGCAAATCTGCAACCCTTGCATTCGGAAGCCAAGGTTAGCAGAAGAACTTGGTGGTGAGCTGAAAGCTGTGAGGACCATGAGGTACTACCTAAACCTAAAGGTCAACGTCATCAAATCAAGCATCATGCACTCGCCTATAGCAACCAACAATTTCGAGATCAAGACCAGTGTTTAAGAAACATGTCCATGCAAATTATTGGGCCAAGTGTATTTTTTCATAGACAACTTAAGCGGCACTGCGCGTTTTGGAGAAACACGGTAAGAAAAGAAAAAAACGAACATGTTTCTTGCTTGTGTTTTTCCAGATGCGGGATTAAGAGTCATTCTCGAGTTTTGGAAAGGAGATCCGATTTTAGGTCTTCTTTTCGCCATTGGAGCTCAATTTCAGTCCCTTGGAGTGAAGATCATCATTAAGAAGTAGATTTCGTATGTTTACATGATGATGAATGTTTCTTCCCTAGTTCCCCCCACCTCTCTCTCTCTCTCTCTCTCTCTCTCTCTCTCTCTCTCTCTCTCTATATATATATATATATATATATATATGAAGTAATCCCTTCTCTCACTTGGTTATGAAGAACCCTAGTTTTGTATGTTAGGAATGATTGTTGTTTGATCTTTGATTTACTAAACTCGATATTATTTATCCAATTGAAGTTTTATTTATGAAATTGGTTGAGTCTTGATCACACTCTTCAATTGGTGCTTTGATCTAGGAGATGGAATACCTAATTATGATGATAGAGTGCCTCCAATTGGTAGTAGTGGATCGATTGCACAAATAGTGAATCGATTCGCTACTCTTACTGGTTTTCAATCAAGTAGTGGGATTCTTTGTTGTACTCCATAGGTATTCTATTTCAGTTGAGGATAATCTCCCTCCGGGTAGTCTATTCAAGAAGGTTTGGTATGCTTTAATCGAGATTCCAAGCTAATTCTAGACTTTTTGCAGTATAAGTATCGAGTGAAATGAACTAGGTAGTAAACAACATCAACCTAACTAAGGATTAGGGGAAAACATACCCGGTGACTTTCTCATATCCGAATTCGAATAAATTTCCTTGCTTTGTTTCTTTATCTCTAGTAATCGACATCACGCCATGTTTGCTAGATAATAGGTAATTCACCGAGTAATAATAGACTTAGCGACCCTGAGTTGACAATTAAAACTGAACTTACATGATACTACTTCACGGTCTTTGGTGACACTTAGCCATTTATTAGAGTAGTAGTTTTAGCAAGTCATTGGTCCTACCTGATTCCGCCCAAGCTTTGATTCTTCTTGTGGCAAATTTGAGGTGTATACTCCCCACGATAGAAGCTTTATTGATAAAGGAGGTGGGAGTTTTGGCAAGCTCCCAGTTTATAGGATGGATGCGGAAACTATGAAACATTTGTTCTTTTAGTGCCAGGTAGCTATTGTCCTTTGGGAGGCTTCAAGCGTAAGGCCTTTCATGTCCGTCATAGGGATGGCGAATGTTGATGTCTTTCTATGGCGTTTTTTGGAATGAGACTCCACGCCAAGTAGGGTGACTCGGGTCATGGCCTTGCTTTGACGTATATGGAAGGTGCGTAATTGGGTGGTGTTTGACTTTAAATAGGTTAGGATTCATGTTCTGGTTAGGCGATATCAATCCAAAGTGGCTTAGTGGCTAGCGCTCCCTATCAAGGGGCAGTACAAGGTTTGAAGGTGGGGGTCTAGACATTGTCGCATATCTCTAGTGCTATGTGTTTGATTGACGAGGCTGTGTGTGCGAGGTCGCACTCTGCAATAGGGATGGTCCTTCGAGATGCAACGGGGGATGTGGTGAGGCTAAGTGGATTGCAGTGTGAAGGGCTTAAAAAACTAGTCGAGTTGATGCAAGCAAAGAATAGGAGTAGTCCATGATGTGACTAAGAAGTGCCTCTCTTCGTCTTTTGTTACTTTAAGCAGTTTTGATTTTTACGATTAGCTTCTCACAAAGTTGTAAATGTTATACTTTAGTTTTCTTGATATATCAAGGAATATTTGCTAAAAAAAAAGTTTACAAATATAATAACATAAAAGATTAACAAATAAAATGAAATTCACCCCACGGGGAAAAACTGCTAAAAGATTTTAGATTTAAATGGTTCGATAATAGAACACAGAAGTGATCGGCGTTAGACTGTAAGTCAGTAGGTGCAAGTAAAATTTGTTTTGTTTGGGATTTTGAATCTGAATGGACTGTGTGAAAGAATGTATCCAAATAGGGTTTTTTATCATTTGCTTCAGTTTACCACCTTTCCAGACAGGAAGCTTAACATTACCAACTACCAAACTGACATAATCAAGGAGGAGCGTTGTCAGAATTGTACATAGCACAGAAACTAGCCAAACGAAAAATATTGACACTCAGAAACACGAAACTAATTGTCCAGAAAGAGAAAGAGTTGGGTTCAAACCTCAAACTATTGCTGCATAACTTCTAATCTTCTTCATCACTCCAAAATCTCCACAAGCTACTCGTTTCTTCCTGGATCAATCCCGTCCACCAAATAGGAGCAATCCCTTTGCCCAGTCAAGTCTATCCTATCTATTTACAAGGAGCATTGGCCAAGCCTTCCTCTTGTCCTAAACATGATTTGATCTTGTATGGCTAGCCCATTATTCTCTTCACTTCATGCTGAGGGTCGCCGCCGGTTTTGGCTTGGTTGTACACTGACTCGAACGCATGCATACAAACGCTGGAAAACCCGACGATTGCCTGAAACACATGGGGGAAACCCATTTGTAGATTGTTCAATGTCATGGCCCTGGTGATGCTCACTGACTTGTCATGCTTCATCTTCTCTTCTTCCGCCTTAGCTCTCGACACCTCGACTTTGGCTCTCTTATCAGCAACCGGGTCTTTGCTTCTACTAGTAACTGAGCTTTCAGCGATTGAATATGATCCATACTTGTTCTCCAGCGACCTAAGCTCTGCCGCCTTCCTCTCAAACTCCTTGGACGCAGATTCCAACTTCTTTTTCTGCTTATGCTCTTCCGCTTGCTGAACTACAATTGCATGGATTACAGTCAGAAAGCTCTTGACCCCTTCAGAAGCAACTTTGTCCGGGATCCGATCAACGGCATGGTGCCATTCCTCGCAGAGCGAGTAAATCTTGGATTCCTGAGTGGTTCTGGAGTAGATTGGGGTTTTGCTGAACTGGAACAGGCTCAGCCTCAGCCAGCCCATAAGGGACTGGATGTAATCTCGCTGAGCCTTCACCAAGTTGCAGAAGGATTGGTGCCATTGTTGGACTTGGAGCTCCAGCTGAAGGGTTGCCTGCCTGTGAATCTCAGAGGTGGGTTCAGTGGATGGAATTGTGTTGAGGTATTTGAGCTGTTGTACGATATGGGTTTGGACCTGGTGGGACTCGTACATGCCTCTCCACATGCACATCAGCCTGCAAAATGCGAGCGGTATAATATCTGTCAAGCCAGAAAGCAGATTCTCTCTCCCATATCACGACAAATCACTCCATTCTGGATCTAAAGGACCAACACCCATTTTTGCATAAGAGAAACAAACTGATTCTACGCAATACACAGAAAGAAGGTTTGACTTTCAAACTCTGATTCTTTCAGAACTTACATTTTCTTCTAGCTCGCTCACAGCCTCACACAGACACTCTCTCTCTCTTAAGGATCAAATGAGGTTGACCAAAGAAAACTGAACAAATTGCAGGGCAATGCACAGCTCCGTGACCAGGTAGGAGAAGACAAAAGAATCATCTACGCCTTTGAAGAGCCATCAAGTTGGTTGCTTTATGGTAATTTGAGATCTGGGTTATTTAAGAAACAGTAGTACTATAATATTGTGGGCCAGAAGAGCAATTGCCTTTCAGTGGATGGGGATGACTCAGCACTCAGCAGCACAAGCTGAAGGTGGCCAAAAAAGTCACAACTGATCTATTCGAAACAGAGGAAGCCGTTTGGACCACCTAGTATCAAGATTTGGAAACTGGATGGGACGACAGTCTCACCAGTCACGTGAAAAACTTATTAATGCCTCTTTAACTTCACTGTTGTTATGTTCTACTTTTCGGCTCTTAAATGTGCTCAATCAAATAAGTTTTTCCCCCTTTCTATCACACGAGTAATGGCAGCTACCTGCTAGAGTTTTTTTCTGCACGACAAGAAGAAATGGGGAGAGGAAAGGGAACGTAGTACTACTAACCCTTTTACCAGCTCAAGCAGCTGAGGGTAGAGCTCAGTCTCTCTCAGCTTGATGATCTCGGTAGAGGTGGATTCAATGGCCTGGGAAGCAACCATCATTTGAGATTCCAGTTTCTCAACTTCCTTCTTTGTTTTCTCAGTCTTCAAATAATCAGCCCTCTTCAATTCCAGCTTCCTTAGCAATGCCAATTTCTTCTCATGCTCAAACTTTATACTCTCAGCATTCTGTAACCAAGACCAACGTAATTAATAATACTCAAATTGGCCGCAGAGAAAAACAGAACTGAACCCTTGTGGGTGATTCGTGTGTTTCCAGATCTCTGTATGTATGTATGTATGTATGTATACCTTCACCTCCTCGAATAGCTTCTTCTCCCAAGCATACAGCCTCTCCACGGTAGAGCAATGGCTGAATCCTTTTTTCTCGTCTCCAATGTTGCTGCAAATCGACATTTCGTCTCCCATTTTCCCAAACCCATTCAGTTTGGTGCTTGAACTCCATGTCCATGAAGCTGGACTCGCCAAATTGCAGCCATAGTTATAGACTTTACCTGCGAAATGTATTAATTAACAAGGGGAAAAGATTGGATTTTTACATCAATTTGAAGTTGGGCTTCATTCAATTTGACAATTTTCCATTACCCCCTTTGCTGCTTTGAGCGGAGAAACCAGAAGTAGGGAGCTCGAGGAGCAGAGAGAGCTGGGTTCCTCCATCAGCTGCTTTGAGGAAATACTCATCCACTTCCTTCACAATCTCCACCAGATCTTTACTGTTCCTCGAGACCACCATGGCCAGCTCACTTCCGCTGCCGCTCGCCGTCGTCAACCCACTGATCATCGATGGCGGCGCCGTAATGCTGGCGCTGGCCGTGCCAGTAACCGCCGCTTCAGAGACAGTCATGGTGGTGACCTCCTCCCATTCCTCCTCCATGGTCGTCCCCGACCGAGTGGCCGACGGCGGAGGAGGGACAAAAGGGTCCCAGAAATCCCAGCTGGAAGACTGAGGAACCGGCGGCGGAGGCGGCGGCGGAGCAGGGGAAGCGGAGATCGAGGTCCAGGTGGTGTCGGAGCTGGGGCTCATTGGAGGAGGCGGCGGCGGCGGTGGGAGAGGAGGCGAGGGGGACGGGATCGCCGGTTGGTGGCGGTGGTGGTAGTGGTTGTAATTGGGGCGGAGGTGGGGGTGGTGGAGATTGGTTTCGATGTTGGAGAAGGTGAGTAGGGCTGCTCCAGTGGAGCGAAGTGCGCGAAGGTACATTGCGTGGGAATTAGCCATGGCTTGTCGAGCTTCCACCAGCTGTTTCATGTATCTCTTCCTGGACTTGCATCTCGACACCATTTCCTCTCTCTCCAGCCGAGAGTAAAAGCAACCCATTTTTGCTCCTTCCAGATCCAACCCAAAAACAGAGAGATGGGTAGAGAGAGGCAGAGTAGTTTAGAAACAAGTAACAGGGGAGGGAGAAGAATCAGAGGAAGGAGAGGAAAGAAACACTGGTTTGTTCTGCTCTCTTCTGTTCCATCATTTTTCTTGCTGTGTGATGAGTTGCTTTCAACGTGGAAGGGAATGAATGGGTTTCGTTTTTGTTCTGGTTTGGGTTTGGGTGAGGGGGGGCTATGCTATGCAGCTCTTCAAAGTGACACCATTTTACTAGGCTGCTCTGGCTCCAAGCTTTTTTCTGGGTTCTTTCATTGCAAAGATGAAAGCTTTGCCTTTTTCTTTCTCTCTCTCTCTCTTGTGGGGGGGAGTGGGGGAGGAGCTGGAGGTGGCAGCGGTGGAGGAACAGAGCTTTTGCCTCTTTTTGGAATGGCAGCGACAATGGAGCTTCGGGCAGAGTGCGTGAGGTGCAGAGATTTTTCGTTTTTTTCTTTTCTGGCTGCTCTTTGGTCTATTTAAGATTTCGAGTGTGGAAGGCGTGGACTCAATTTAACCCGGCTTCTTTCGTTTTTACACTTTAACAGCGGGGGGTGAGAAAGAAGATAATTGGATGTTGTTTTGGTAAAAACTTGCACACCTTTTTAGTTTTTATTTAACCGACTACGTTTCTCAATGCCAATGCGGCAATGCCAACCAAACCGCCCAATGCCCGTTCGGAGTTTTGGGACGGTCACTCTCACATCCAAGTTTGTCAAACCTAGGTTGAGAAGTGTACATGGGTCGGGTGGGGGTCGGATACTATGCTAACCCCTAAAGGGGTAGTCATTTTCGACACCCCCCATTTGATTGGTCCAAAGTATACTTAATTATCAGGCAACTATTAATGGCTGGAGAAAATAAATATGGATGGAGAAAAGAATAACTGGCATATTAATTATGCACGGGAAGTGGGGCAATTTAGCTGGAACCATGGATGGAAAGAGTGGCGTTTCTACTCCCTTTCCATTTGTTTCTATTTCCGCTTCTCGTCTCTGCTATTTCCCATCGCCGCCGCCGTGGAGAACCATAGCTCTGGTTCATCACTACACGGCTGGCGGGATCCATTATTTTAAAAAATGGATGATCACATCGTCCAGTTGAATGGTGGAGGTCCCTGTGTACACAAGTCTGCCGGATTGGTGGTGGGTCCGGGCAAGGTGGAGGGTTTGGTGCCGGTGGAGGTGTAGGAGGAGGAGCTGGAGCTGGAGGCGGAGGAGGGTTAGGCGGTGGGGGCGGTAGAGGTGCAGGTGGTGGTCTCGGTGGCGGACGTGGCGGAGGAGCCGGTGGTGGATTTGGCATTGGGATTGGTGTTGGTGTTGGAGTTGGCGTCGGCAGTGGTGCCGGAGCTGGGAAAGGAGTTGGAGTTGGGAGTGGCTCTGGCGGAGACGGCGGCGGCAGATGATTCGTTACTTGGCCGGCCGTCTGTTGATTTCTGGCAGATGTTCATATATTACCATTATCATTATCATTATCTTGGCAATGTATATTGGTTATATTCTGAATTATTTTTATCACATAGAATGGTACATGTACAAATGGACTGGTACATGTACCAGTCCAGTGATAGATGTACCAGTGGACTGGTACATGTACCAGTGGAGTGATAGATGTACCACAATACTGGTACGCATTTATAACTTTTTCCAAACAACACAAATATTAAATAACGATGTTTCAAGTTGTGATATATTTACCACAGTACTGGTACATTTACCAGTAGAGTGATCCCCTGTCAACTTCTATTTGTTGAATCCTGTTTTTTTTTTTCGTTTTATGAACTGTGCTCCATTTTTAAAGAACTGTGGTTGAGCGAGATAAATTATATAACGTATATTGGTTATATTCTGAATTATGTTTATCACATAGAATGGTACATGTACAAATGGACTGGTACATGTACAAATGGACTGGTACATGTACCAGTGCAGTGATAGATGTACCAGTGCACTGGTACATGTACCAGTGCAGTGATACATGTACCAGTGCACTGGTACATGTACCAGTGCAGTGATAGATGTACCAGAGTACTGGTACGCGTTTATAATTACCAACTGTTTTTCAAACAACACAAATATTAAACAAGACACCATAATAGGTAATTCCCATCCATAGGATCAATAAAGTTGTTTCAACATGGGTGTCCGAAATGTAAACAAAGACCAAATTATCCTTCAAATTCAAATAACCAAATAGTCCACTAGAATCATAAGCAAAAAAGAATCAGTTGGCGAAGGATGGCTGGGTCACTTGAGTAGCTGCAGGGAACAATGTTTCGTGTGCCTCAGAAGCTTTAACTGTCAACTCTTCAAGCATTAGGTTACTCTCGTCCTCGAGCATGTCTGTAACTATTTCCACAATCAAGCATTAGGCATCTCAGGACCAGTTCTCTTTGTCCTTGCCATTCCTGGTTTAATTGGAAGATAAGTCAATTCTACGAACTAACAAACGTACCAGTGTAGTGGTACTTTCAAGAACAAAAAATAAGTTGTAAATACCACTGCAGTGATAGCCCTATAAACATAAACTTTACAACTAACTACCACTTTAGTGATATTTTAACGAATCCAGCGATAGACAATCATTAGCTTGTGAAGGATTTACGACTATAATGCTAGATATACAACTATACTTACACATCTACCACTAGAGTGATATACCACACTACCACTACAGTGATAGAACTACCACAACAGTGATAGAACTACCACTACTGTGATAGAACTACCACTGCACAAGACAATCAAAAAAATTCATGCACTGCGCAAGACAATCAGAAAACAACATGCAATGCCGTAATGAAAGAGACGACAACAATAAAAGAATTCGGAGTATACTTGCCTCAGTTTAGGATGAATTAAAGGGGAAAATCACGCCGGCGCCGCTATCGTTAAATATATAGCCTCTGTCGCAGCTATACTATCGTGGACGGGAATCGCTCAAGCGGGTTCGAAGTCGATGTAGCGGGGGGAAAGAGAGACGACTTCCGACGGGCCGACGGCTGTTTTGTGAAGGAGATGATGTTTAACGGCGGCGCCGAAGGGTTGCGAAGGGTTGCGAAGGGGTAGTGATGAGTCGGCGTCGAAGGGTTGCGGCGGGTGCTGAAGTCTATGGTTCGGGATGAAAGAGAGACGACTTCCGACGGGAGGGAGTGGGCGACCGCAGTTTGTGAAGGAGATTAGGGTCTACGGCGGCGATTTTATGAGTCGGCGGCGAAGGGTTCTTTGTGGGTTCTGGAGGCAGAGGTATAGAAGGGAAGGGGAACTCAAAACGGTGAAAGTGAAAAAGGTAAGAGGGAATGAATTTTAAATTATGGGTGGGGTCGCCACTTTTACTTCTTTCTCTTTTTCTATGCAATTAATTATCAATAATTACTAACTGTAAGCAATTAATCTTAGATTAGGACTATCTACAATGGACGGCTTAGATGATGGGTGTCGAAAATGACTACCCCTTTAGGGGTAGTCAGGCTAACCGGTCCCGGGTCGGGTGGTTTGGATTTAACCATTTTAATTATCCAATTTTTGTACTCGGTTTGAGAAATATTAAACTCAAACTCAACCAAAAAAATTTAAACCCTACGGTTTGTTTCTAATTGGGTTGGGTCGACTATATTTTTAAGTAAAAACCCAACCCAACACAAAATATATAATTATTCTACACTATAAAAAATATTTTATTAACAACTAAATTTCAAACGAATAAACTGAGGTGAAAGGTATCAAATTTCACAAATGTTGTTTCAGTTTTAATAAAATGTGATTTACTTCAACATATGTCTAGTTTTTTTCATGATATTTGTTGAAATAGGCTAAAAAGGTTATAAACGAATGCACCCGTAATATGTTATTCTATTAAAATTGTACACAATAAAAAAGATTATGTGAATCATAGCTATATTAAATATATGTCTAAACTTTAAGCCGAAGAATGCATTAGATTAGGGAGACCATGAGAGAAAAACATGGCGAAATATCTTAATTTTCGCATAGTATGGCTATATATGACATAAATATTTTTGGATACGAACTCCTACCAATAGTTGGAACACGGGTTGGGTCGGGGTCTACGGGTTGTGCAATCCAAAATACAAACCCAACCCAATAGAGGCGGGTTGTACAAAAGAAAACCCTCACCCAACCCAAAACCTTCGATAAATACGGGTGGGTTGGGTCGGGTTGGACGGGTGGGTCGGTTTACGGGTGTGTTTGTTCACCCCTACTGGGAACGGTTGCGGTTTTGCGGTTAAATCGCTAACCGCACCAAAACCGTGTGGGTAGTGAACTGTAAACCCAAAAACGGCCTCTTTTGCAATTGCGGTTGTCGGTATTGGGTGTTTTGCGGTTGGCGGTTTAACTGCAACCGAAACCAAAAATAGCCCTAACGACAGTGCTAACCGCAAGCACATCCCAATTCTATTTTCAGACCAGCCAAGTCACAAACTCCACCCAAGCCCACTACCCACATGAACCCGCCCCTCCCCTTCCCCCACTTTGCGAGTGTCTTTCCCAAATGTCCAAATCTCTACCCTAATCATCTCAAATCCCAGCTTGAATCGTCGTCGTCCGTCGAGAGAGGCTTTGAGAGAGAGTTGAGACGTCGACCCTTGTCACCCAGCAAATCCGGCCATCGTCATCCATTGTCACCAAGCAATCTAAGTAGCAGACCCTTGTCGCCTAGCAATTCGGCACTCAGTGGCGCAGCACAACGGCAAGCTCGACACTTTACCGGCTACCGCGACAGCGTGATCGTTCCAGAATCCAGGCCCAGAGTGTCGTCGTCCGGAAATCCCTCTGCCGCGTCCCTTCTCGTCTAGTAAATCCAAGACCTGCTTGGTTACCGACGACAGTAACCGTGGTGCATCGTTAACTGTGTCAGGTGCGATCGCGGTTGGTTAATATGGACACTTTGCGGTTGCGGTTAACTGTGAGTTGCGGTGCAGTTAGCCGCAACCGCACTATTTCCCACCCCTAGTCAAACCGTCAGTATTGCAAGTGGTTTAGTTCGATAGACAGTACAACTGGTTTAACCGGTATGTGTGTTTATGCGGATTTTGGTAAAATATATTGGAAAATAAAAATTATTGACATTAAATGAATTTAGAAAAATATTACATATTTATAGAGAATTTTTATAAAACCTACATAGATATTTAAATAAAATATAATACTCCAAATAAAATGAAAAATCCTTATATTTAAATTTAACATTCAACGCCAACATACAAACATTTGTACTTAAATCCAATAAATAAAATGAACATCTAAACATTCATACTTGAATCCAACAAATAAAATCAACATTTAACTTTCAAATTCAAGAAATAAATCTAAATTTATTTTTTTGTTAATTAAATACACCATAAAACATCTAACCCTAGCAATGACAAGTATACAAAGTGGTTCCAATGACACTGCAGCCAATTATATGAGGAACAAGCTTGAAGCATGGGGCACTAGTGTTGTA